TTGTGTCGGGACCAGTGACTATGGGGGTCATTCCCATTTTGCCTGTGGGTGGAGTCAACCTGCTCCACAGCACTGTCTTGGCAAGTTCAAAGATATTAGCATCTTCAGTGGTCTCCCAGATGTTCACTTCGAATTCAAGGGAGACCAATCAGCTGCAAGCTGTGAGTACCTGACATTTTACCTATGGTCACATGGTTCTTGGCCAGATCAGCTCAGCCAGTGGAGACTAGGGTGATACTACAAACAAAAGGCCCTCTGGTCTGATTATCTGAATTCTTTTTTGGGAGCGTCAAAGATCCCAAGGAGGTAATAAATAGAACTTGAGATAGTAGGAACTGCAGATGCTGGAGAATCCGAGACAACAAGGTGCAGAGCTGGATGAACACAGCAGGCCAAGCAGCATCATAGGAGCAGGAAGGCTGACGTTTCGGGCCTAGACCCTTCATCGATGCAAGTCAGAAGTCACATGACACCAGGTTATAGTTCAAGAGGTTTTTTGAAATCACAAGCTTTCGGAGCGTAGCCCTTTCGTCAGGTGAAGTGAGAGAGAAGCACACAGAATTTACGGGAAGAGAGAGATAAAGGGCATAGAGATCAAACGAACATACAAATGGTGTGAGTGGAGTGCCGAATAATGAGTCTCTGCAGGTGATCTGAATTGTCAGACGGTGTGAGTAAAGTGTCAACAGCTGAATAACAAGTGAAGGGATGACCTATAATCCGATTAAATGAGGCAGAGAGATAATTACAAAAAATTAAAAATAAGGTATTGCTGCAGACAAACCAAATGACTGGAAATAACATGATAGGTATCAGAGTCGCATGCCAAGGGTCTAACCAGTCATAAGTGATCCAAAACTGTACAAACTAATTAAAGTAGAGAGATCATTATAATTTATCCAAGTGATGGTGACACAACGGCACACTAAGGAAGATTTTAGAGACACAGAACAATATGGTAGGGCCATATGTAGTGCGACATGAACCCAAGATCACGGTTGAGGCTGTCTTCGTGGGTCGCACCTGAATATCTCATTGTATCAAGCATTGGAACCTTGTGTGAGAATCTCTCTGGCTATGTCAAGGGCATCTTGAAACTCATTGTATAGGAAACCCCCAGCTTCTGTTGCAACACTACAGATTTCTTACAGAAACTCATCACCCAGGGACCAGTTGAACCAGGAACATTCCTCGTCACAATGGACATTTTGGCACTCTACAGCAGCATCCCCCAAAGCGATGGCATCGCTGCAACAGCCTCAGTACTCAATACCACCAATTGCCAATTTCCAGACACCATCCGACAACTCATCTGCTTCATCTTTGACCACAACTTCTTCACCTTTGACAATCAGTTCTTTCTCCAAATACATGGATCAGCCATGAGGACCAAATTTGCACCCCAGTATTCCAACACTTCCATGCACAAGTTTGAGCAAGACTTCTTTGCTGAGCAGGACCTCTGACCAACGCTATACACCAGATACATCGATGACATTTTCTTCCTTTGGACTCATGGTGAGGAATCACTGAAACAACTACATAGCGATATTGACAAGTTTCATCCCACCATCAGACTTACCATGGACTACTCTTCAGAATCAGTTTCATTCTTGGACACACGCATCTGCATCAAGGACGAACACCTCAGTTACCTCACTCTACTGCAAGCCCACAGATAACATCACGATGCTGCATTTCTTTAGCTTACACCTTAAACATGTTAAAGAAGCCATCCCTTATGGACAAGCCCCAAGCACATACACACGATCTGCTCAGATGAGGAGGCACGTGATGCACACCTAAAAATTTTGAAGGATGCCCTCTTAAGAATTGGATATTACAGTCACCTCATCAATCACCGGTTCTGATGTGCTACAGCGGAAAACCGCAATGACCTTGTTAGAAGACAGACACAGGATACGACCGATAAAGTACCCTTTGTCGTCCAGTACTTCCCTGGAACAGACAGACTATGCCATATTCTTCGCAGCCTTCAACATGTCATCGATGACAATGAGCATCTCACCAAGATCATCCCCATGCCTCCACTTCTTGTCCTCAAACAACCCACCAAACCTTTAACAGACCATCATTCGCAGCAAACTACCCAGCCTTCAGGACAACATTGACCAAACACCACAAAACCCTGTCAGAGCAATCTCTGCAATACATGTCAGATCATCGACATGGATACTACCATCACACGTGGGAACACCACCCATCATGCACATGGCAGATACTCATGTGACTTGGCCAATGTTGTCTATCTCATTTGCTGCAGGCAAGGATGCCCCGAGGCATGGTATATTGGCAAAACCATGCAGACGCCATGACAACAGATGAATGGACACCGTGCAACAATCGCCAGACAGGAATGTTCCCTCCCAGCCAGGGAACATTTCAGCATTCAAGGATATTCAGTCTCAGATCTTCAGGTCAGCATCCTCCAAGTCGGCCTTCAAGATACACAACAATGCAGAATCGCCGAGCAGAAACTGATAGCCAAGTTCTGTACCCACGAAGACAGCCTCAACCGTGATCTTGGGTTCATGTTGCACTACATGTGACCCCACCACACTGTTCGGTGTCTGTAAAATCTTCCTTACTGTTCTGTTTTGTCACCATCACCTGGATAAATTGTTATGATCTCTCTACCTTAATTAGTTTGTACAGTTTTGGACCACTTATGACTGGTTAGATCCACGGCATGCGACTCTTATACCTACTGTTATCCCAGTCAGTTGGTTTGTCTCCAGCACCACCTTATTTTTGATTTTTTTTTGTAATTATCTCTCTGCCTCATTTAATCGGATTATAGGTCATTCCTTTGCTTGATATTCAGCTGTTGACATTTCCTTCACACCGTCTAACATTTTGGATCACCTGCAGGGACTTATTATTCGGCACTCCACTCACAACTTTTATGGTCCTTTGATCTCTCGGCCCTTGATCTCTCTCTGCCCGTAAATCCTGTGTTCTGTGTGCTTCTGTCTCACTTCACCTGACAAAAGGTTTATGCTCCAAAAGCTTGTGGTTTCAAATAAACCTGTTGGACGATAACCTGGTGTCGTGTGACTTCTGACTTTGTCCACTCCAGTCCAACACTGCCACCTCCATATCATCAATGCAAGTGACATTGGGGTATGGGCTGTACACCTTCAGAAAGGCACATCTGAAATACAGAGTCCAATCAGGCACTTGTCTCAGAAACTAACAAGCATCAGAGACGTAACTCATGTGCAGGGCAAGTGCCATGTCCATAGATCATAATTCCCAATCACTTATAGAAACATTGCATTTTAATATCAACTTCTGTCTTTTGAAAAAGGATTGATAAAGCCATGAACGTGATGGAAGAAAAGGCAGCAGTGTGGGTGAGAGACATGTTTAGTTTCGTTCCCTTTCAAAAATACACAAGGGGCTAAAAGTCACTAATGCTGGAAATCTGTGTGTGCTAGTGGAAGAACACCTGCAAATGAGCTGAGGTGTTCATGTGTGCTGTGAGATGAGGTACTCGTGTACTAACCTGGGTTCAAGCAACAGTACGCAGTGAAGGTCAGAGTCAAAGAACCGCCCCGAATTCAGGAAAAGGTATCTCTCATTCTGACTGCCAGAAGCCAGTTAGGCAGTAATCCAGTCATAAGCAAGTATGACAAAGGATTTCAATTAACCTGCAAATTCAAGAAAACTAAAATCAACTGTTCCACTACCTACTCAACTTTTTTTTTCTGGACTCACTTATCATTTCTAACCTGTGTGTGGTCTGCTATTGATTCTTCTTGAGATAACTAATAAACTCACCCTTAGTTAACTCTTTGAAAGCCTGGTTAAATTGGCTGCTTTTAAACATGAATTTATTTGGGTATGGGACAATGGTATCCACAAATGAAATTAACCTTGTTGTGATCAACAGAGAGGGTGGCTTAATAAAGAGTTGAGAGCTTGCCAATTTGTTGTATCCCATCTGGAACCATAATAAATGGTGAAACCTCACTTGTACCACAATGCATGTAATTATGTGTTTTGATAATAGTGTAATGTACTGTCTCAGTGACAGCGTACATCCAGATAATAATGACTGAATTTTCATGGTCCCAGTTGGGGCTGAAGTGGAGTCAGTGCTGAGAAGAAATAGTGCCTCGATTGTTAAGCCAGTTATCTCTTTCTGTTCCCAACACCAGCTATTCTCACCAGCACAGTGAATGGAGGCATATCAGGGCCCCTGGCCTGCCTTATGTTTAAAACAGCCAGCACTGTTTTAAAGGTGAGTTTGTGAACTGTGACCTGGAGGTAGGAGTGTCTCACTCTTACTTAGAATTGGCTGGATTTTGGATGCAAAGTGTAACAAACAATCAAATTGGCTTTGACAGTTCAATGACCTCTTCAAAAGGCTAATAGTTCTTTGAAGTGGTTATTAAATGATATGGTTATTTTGAAAGACATACATCCTCCAGGAGGGAGTGTTTCTGCAATGGTTTATTTGGCTAATGTTTTATATTTCGACAGATCAATGGACATTTCAAAGAATTAAAGTTATGATAAGGTGAAAGGTGGACAGTGTGAAGGGAGGTGGACAATTGAGGGTGATATGCAAGTGCAGTTAAGGAGATAGGCGTGGGGCTGAAGGTGGAGGGAACTGAGGGGCTATAAAAACTGATGTGCATTGTTTTTTTTTGTTTTGAGGCACTCATCTATAGAGCAGCATCACTTGATAAAAGGGTAGCGCTTCGAAAGCTCGTGATTTCAAATAAACCTGTTCGACTATAACCTGGTATTGTGGGATGTTTAACCTCATCTTTAGAGACAGACCTCAGAGCCAGGATGCATCAGAATTGACCTGCCTCTGCCTCTAACATTAAAACAGGGCAAGCTCCTTCAAGATGAAGACAGGATTGCAGGGTCAGAACACTTCCTGGCTCCTGATACTTGTCTTAACCATGAAAATCTAGCCCATGATGTTTGATTGTGAAAATGCTAAAAATAAAAGTAATAAATCATTTCCAAAATAATTTTTTATTGAATGACAGATTTTCATGCACATTTATTTTGTCCTTTTATAAAATTCACAGAAGTTCTGATCTTCTTCAGCACGTTGGATTACTTCTTTGCTAGAAACGAGATGTGCTGCAAGTTTCCCCGAATACCAGAGAAGCTATTTAGTCAGTGTCACCTAGCTGAAGCTACATGTCATTTTAGACACTTACAATAGATAAAGGGAATCCCTATTTACATTTGCAAGTTTAGGAGTGATACATTTGACAACTCTCAAGTGATAATTAACAGATGAAGATTTCTGCTCATCGATGGGGAACATCACAATAAAATCTGCAAAAAAAAAGTTTTTTTAAAGGAACTGAGCAAGTTAAATAATGAGTCAAAATTAAATTGTTACAGATGTTAACTTAATGAATTTCACAATTATAATTGGGTCAAGATGCATGATAGAACAGATACAAATGCTTTGTCATGGGTAGTGGAAATAATTACCAGTGTGCAACAACAGTCCTAATCTCTTCCCAGCTGTGCAAATTTGAAGATATGCACAAGAAGTGTTCAGAACTTGTCAAGATTTTAGGATTAAAGTTTTAAAAGGTCCACATAGCTATCCTCATCTTCACAAACTGAGCAGCTGGAGAGAGGTGGGCAAGGAGTGGGGAATGAATAATGGCTGCTCGCGGGCATCACACCAACTCCATAAGAGAGTGGTCAATGGGCCAAACTCCATTGAGCTTGGTAAGGATGTCCCCTTGGCATTACATAGGTGGCAGAGATTGGGCACAACACAAGCTTCATATAGGGTCAGCATTCCCTTGGCATTACAAGGGTGGAACAGTAGGGGGCAAAGCTGCGAGGGATAGTTGTTGGTCACCTGCCCAGATGGAAGGCCCAGCTGGTGATAGGGGCATAACTGTCAGATATTGGTCTCGTGGTGTCAAGAAACAACACTGTCCTTAGAAAGGGAAGACCTCTGACCATTAGGAGGGCTTGGAAGAGGAAAGAAGGGCAAGAAAGCAATGGACACCAAACTCCTGACACAGTATGTACTGCCAAAAATGAAGCTTGCTGGAGATGACTAAGTCACGGTGCAACAGGAGACTGCATATCTCCAGACATATGGTCACAGACAACTGTTCCTTCATTGTTGAAGACCCTGTATCTTGCAGCACTGATCACCTTGCCCTGACAGTGGCTCTCAAATCACTGTGGCCTTGAATGACTTCACTTCTGAATAGTTCCAACAATCAGCTGTGGACATTATTGGCATTTGCTCCTAACTTTTGCATTAGGACTGAGCCCTGCAACTGTCACTGGCAATTCCAGTCCTGGCTCCTTCAGAAATGCGGAGCGCATGTGAAATCCAACTATTGCCTCATAGTCAGGGCAAGTCAAACCATGCCCCCTTTTCCACAGCACATTAAGTTTAAATGTCCCAAGGCTATACATGTACGATTGCTCATTATTCTATTACTGGTATTACTTTGATCAGTGTGAATACCCACTTCACTAGCCCTTGCCCCCTGAAGTGATAACCTTTCCACCACCACTCCATTACCCCCCTTAACAGAGTTCTCCTCCCTCCCTCATGCCACAAAATTGCTTCACCCATCCATTGTCTCACCCCCAACAACGTGATTCTTCAGACATTTACCTAAATTGGCTCCCAATCTAGCACTTAACCAATGCCTCAATTTAAAACTCTCAGCCTGGCTTTCTTCTGGGGCCTTATCCCTCCTTAGCCCTGCAACATTCTCTGGGCCTAGGACTCTTTGAAATATCTGTAACCACTTGACCAACCTCAATTTCAGCTGCTCCATCATTGGAAGCCATGCTTTCAGCTCCAGAGATAGTACGAAGTGCTGATACTGGAGTCCGAGATAACACAGTGCAGAGCTGGAGGAACACAGCAGGCCAGGCAGCATCAGAGGAGCAGGAAAGCTGACATTTCGGGTTGGGACCTTTCTTTCTTTCAGAAATGCTTGCTTTCTTCAGAAGTGCTTTCAGCTCCCCTGTACTTAACATCTGGATTCCTTTTAAGATGCTTTTTAAAACCTGTTGCTTTGATCAAAATTTTCAGCCACTTTCCCTATATCTCCTACTTCGCCTAGATGTGACATTTTGATTTATAATTGTCCTGTGAAACACTTTGGAACATTTGTTACATTAAGGAAGCTTATAAGTACAAGTTTCCTTGAGGTGGCTGTCCTCAAATAAGTCTTTATCCACACTGGAAGTGATCTACTAAGGCACAAACATTCCCCTTGTTATATTCCCATCTTATGTATTCTGATAAGCACATTTGCTGTTACCCTAGAGGTGTAACTTAACATAGCAATGTCACTGGAGATCAAATATCATATAACTAAATAAAATATCTTACACTCAACAGGTTAAACTATAAAAGGATAACATATTACTTACGTGATAAAGCAGAGAAAACCAACAATAGCAACAGCAACAGGAATAGAGTACAGTACTGATCGAGGCATTGGAATTTTGGAGGATTGAGAAAGCATGTCCAATTTGATTTTTCCAACTTTAAAACGTATTCCTCGTTTTGTTCTGCGGTATTCTATAAAAATCAGAGGGAATTACACAGACGCTCAGCTATTACATTCAAGAACAAAAGGACTGTCATACATTGAAATAAAACACTTCTGCCTTGTAACAAGTTTAAATATGTCTGTCACCCCTGGCAACCTCAATCCATGTAAGATTTTTTATTTTTGAATATTGGGTAAAACTGATGGGAATCACGCCTGGCACAAGTCATCAATGTCAATCATCTTTTCAGGCTGCAGAAGTTCCTTAGCTCTAGGACCAAACATCTTCAGCTGCTTCATCAATGACTTTCTCTGTATGATATGGTTCAAAGTTGCATGTGTGCTGAAGACAGTTCCATTCAAAACTCTTCAGGTACTAAGCAGTTCATGTATGCATGCAGCAACACCTGGACAACATTCGGGCTTGGGCTGGTAGGTAGCCAGCGTCTTTCTCACTACTTTCCACTGTCCCTTACCATTCAAAGGCATTGCCATTGCTGATTTCTTACCAACAAAATCCCTTGAGTTAGCAAAGATCAAGAATTTAACCAAACTAAGCAAATAAATATTAGTTTCAAAAGCAGGGGTTTGAAATTGGCTATTCTGCAGTGTCATTCACCTCCTGATTACCCAAAATTTTGTTTCATCTACAAGGCACATTTTAAGCATGCAAGAACGCTCTCCACTTGCCTGGATGAAAATGCTCTAACAATACTCAATAAAATGTGACACAATCCAGGACAACAAAACCTATTTGACTGGCATAATTTAAAGCAACTCAAACTGTTCTGTCTCTCCACCACTGGCTGCAGTTTGTACCAACCAATGTATAAGATGCACTGCAAGAATTTACTACGACTTTACCATCCCATTGAAACTTGCAACCTCTACCACTGGTGTATGAGAACACCAGCATCTCATAACATGTTGATTTGGAAATATGTTACCAGTCCTTCATTATGACTACATCAAAATCCTGGAACGCCCTCCCAAACAATACTGTGGCTGCATTTATATCACAGACTGCAGCTGCACAAGTTAGCTCATCATCACCTTCTCAGAGGTATTTAGGGATGCAACACAATTAAGTGATGCCTGGACACCGTGAATGAATAAAAAATGTTTTTCACCTCTTATTGATCAAATGTCAAAGTTAGGAAACCTCACTTGTACAAATGTGTAATCTAGGTTAGTTTCCAAAATAATTCTGACTAAAAAAAAATGTACTGATACACCTTGAATAAACTTAATAGGTGATATGAGTTTCACTCATTATATGAGTCATTCTGAACACATACTAGAGGGGCCCCATGCAGTAACATCAAATAATAAAATATCAGTAAACATCGTGTCCTGCAGGAGCATGACCATTTTTCAACTAAAGTTTCCTGTTAAAAATTTACATACCAGATTTTTTGATAATGTAATGCTTATCTAAAATTCTTATTTGTTTACAAACCAACACACAAAGGAATTGGAACAGTGAAGATGGGAGAATGTGTAAGCAGTGATTGGTTTCTGCCTCACTCAAAGAAAGTATCTGCAGATTCCTTTGACACAACTTACTCAGCTTCTAGCATTGAGCTACAAGATGTCATTGGCCAAATGCTAGGGAACATACTACCTACTAAGGAGTAGTGCTGGTTACAAATCCAATAGACAGGAGAGATTAATAAAACATTTAGCTACATAATGTTCTATGTTCTATAAAAGGAATGGTAAAGTTAGAGCTTACAGGTTCCAGCTCAATTAAATGTTTTGCACTATGCTTAAAGTATCTCTTTGAACAGACTTACTTCCAGATAGACATGCTACATTTCTTGTCTTACAGGTGCCACAGTGAACTAAACGTACTGTAAGAGTGCAAAATGAGTTTTAGCAAATGGCTGCTTTCATACATGTTGGAGATTCAACAGTGCTCTAAAGATCTCTATTTTTACCTTTCAAACATTTATAAGCTTTTGTAAAAGATTTATTGTATGTTACAAATAATCAAAATGCATTTCTGCTGCTAATTGCAAACTTAAAAGTATTTTGTTCCATTCTGCAAAGGGTTCGACGGTTACCCTTGGTTCTGGCTGGGTTGTGATGAGAAAGGGTTTGGTTGAATGAGCATGGTTAAGGGGAGATTGGATAGGTTAATATGAAAGAAGGTTCTGATTTTAAAAAAAACTTATTTCTAAAGTATTCCTCACGTACTGATAGCACATGCTAGGATGATTTCAGACAGCTTATAGTAGGTTAGTTTGTTGAAGTGATCCTGGCTACAAAGAGACTTAAAGTTTAGTCATATAAAAGGTCAAAGAGGTCAGGCTAGGTTTTGGTTAGATTACACTATGTTAGTTAGGTTAGGGTAATGAGAGAGGGATTTAGATAGTTACAAATGAACATATTCTGGTTACTTACTATAATTTGAATAATTACACCGTTGATCTAAAATAGAAAAAGAAGTAGTGAATTGAAAGAAAATGTCAGTATTATTTGTATTCAAACCAATGCAGCAAATGCTTCACCATGTTTATGAGGGAATGTTATTATGATTTTTGGTAATTAGAATCAGTATTTTTTTTGTCAGTTTTATTCCATCTTCTAAGTTTTCCTAGTTTTGGCCTATTTGAGACATTGTCCTGTGATTTTTTTCCTCAGGGCTTCTGTCAGTGCTCTAGCGTAACCAGTGCTTAGTGTCAGTCTGTGATGTCTTCTCATTTCCTAAGCAGAAACAATTAACTTCTATTCAACATCTTCTTCCTGATAGCAGCTTTTGCTTATGTTAGGAAAATGATGAGACCTGATTAGGTTAGAATGGAAGGATGTTTTGGTTAGTTTAGGATGCTTGAAATAGGTTCAGCCCAGAGAATGAAAGCAGACCAGGCTTTGATTGAGTTAGCTCTGTGTGGATATTGAATGCAAAGCCAAGTCATGTCACATTTCATTCTTAATTTCTTTTACTGATAAATTATAGCTCATGTATAGTCTGCATGGCAGTCAAGCCACTCCCAAATCATTTGGTTTGGAACCTTGTAGTCGGCTAGCAGCACAAACAAACTCTCCACCCAATATTATTCCCATTTCCTCTGTAGGAAGATAATTGCCTGCTTAGTAGAACTCAGGAAGTGGCTGAAACTTTATTTCACTTCACTCACTGAATATTTGTGGTCTAACAAGATTAAACTGCTCCAATAAATCACTCTACAGTTTATAAGATAACTTAGTTTCTTATAAAACAATAAGAACTGAAGAACAGACCTGGTAGAACAGGTGCCTGAATGAGCTGTGCATACTGCCTCACCACAGCTGTGATGGTGGTCATCTCTGCAGGTGACATTTATCAAAATGAAAATTAACATGCAAAAAAATTAACAGCTTAAAAAAAAGGTAAAAATAAACATGTTATCAAATGATATTTTCCTAAAAGGTAGAAATACAAAACTAAGAACTTACTTTTGTTCTCAAAATTATTTTTCAGAAAGTTATGTATTTCATTTCTTATGGAGGTAAGAACATTTGCAGCTGGAACAAAAACAAGTGGAAAGAAATACAGAGCTATTCAACAAGCACAGCAGCAAATTATTAAACAGATTGCTAATACTTCTAACAATAGACTGGTCAGTACGGGACAATCATTAGCAACAGGATATACGAAAGAAGTTACAATCATTTGATGTTGATTTTGGCTGTAGACTATGTAGGCTGTAAGGGTCAAATTTTTGATCTTTGATCTTTGGCTAAGTCATTACGTCTTAGCCAGAGTGACTATAGTTAGCGACAGTAGTACTGGCTTATCCTTTGAAAGCTAAGGATAAGGGCTGTTGTGGCACAGTGGTAGAGTCCCTGCCTCTGAGCCAGGAGACCTGGGTTCAAGTGCCACCTGCGCCAAGGGTGTGTAATAACATCTCTGCACAGATTGATTAGAAAGTGTCCACAATATTGACACAGGCAAGGACTAGATTAGAAGCAACTCTGATGGATTTGCAATGGATATCTGGTGACAACCATGCCTGAGCTATTTCAGTGACGTAGCTTGGTGCCATGGAAGTATGATCATCTAGGCATGCTCGATGGTGGCATAGCGTTATCGAAATGAAAAATCTTCGCTTTTCCAACATCATAATTTTTCACTTTCACAAACGTCAAATGAATACAAATATCCCTAGAGTGTTAAATCCCATCTGATTTGTGTGAGCAATTCTGAGAATTAAAGAAGTAAAAAAAAAAGAAAAATAAGAACTAAAAGCAGAGATAGGCCATTTGGACCCGTGAGCCTGCTCTGCCAATGAAGAAGGTCATGCCTTAGAGGTTACTATCGAAATAAAGTGTTGAGTCCAAAGACACTAACTCTGGTTAGGATTCACATATAGGTTTTTTTGCAATTAAAAACTTTGCCATAGTGATTGGCTTATCTCCTAGTTATAGGAAGTATTGTTCAACTAACAATAACAAATAATAAATAATGTGACCAGATCCCAACACACGCTCTGATATCAGAGTCCCCTCTGCAGGCACCATTTATCAAAATGGAAATAGAACATAGAACACAGAACATAGAACATTACAGTGCAGTACAGGCCCTTCGGCCCTCGATGTTGCGCCGACCTGTGAAACCATTCTGAAGCCCATCTAACCTAAACTATTCCATTATCATCCATATGCTTATCCAATGACCATTTAAATGCCCTTAAAGTTGGCGAGTCTACTATTTTTGCAGGCAGGGCATTCCACGCCCTTACTACTCTCCGAGTAAAGAACCTACCTCTGACATCTGTCCTATATCTATCACTCCTCAATTTAAAGCTATGTCCCCTCGTGCTAGCCATCACCATCCGAGGAAAAAGGCTCCCACTGTCCACCCTATCTAATTCTCTGATCATCTTGTATGTCTCTATCAAGTCACCTCTTAACCTTCTTCTCTCTAATGAAAACAGCCTCAAGACCCTGAGCCTTTCCTCATAAGATCTTCCCTCCATACCAGGCAACATCCTGGTAAATCTCCTCTGCACCCTTTCCAATGCTTCCACATCCTTCCTATAATGCGGTGACCAGAACTGTACGCAATACTCCAAGTGCGGCCGCACCAGAGTTTTGTACAGCTGCAACATGACCTCATGGCTCCGAAACTCAATCCCTCTACCAATAAAACCTAACATACTGTACGCCTTCTTAACAACGCTATCAACCTGGGTGGCAACTTTCAGTGATCTATGCACATGGACCGAGATCTTTCTGCTCATCCACACTACCAAGAATCTTACCATTAGCCCAGTACTCTGTATTCCTGTTACTCCTTCCAAAGTGAATCACCTCACACTTTTCCGCATTAAACTCCATTTGCCACCTCTCAGCCCAGCTCTGCAGCTTATCTATGTCCCTCTGTAACCTGCAACATCCTTCCGCACTATCCACAACTCCACCGACTTTGGTGTCATCCGCAAATTTACTAACCCATCCTTCTACGCCCTCATCCAGGTCATTTATAAAAATGACGAACAACAGTGGCCCCAAAACAGATCCTTGAGGTACGCCACTAGTAACTGAACTCCAGGATGAACATTTCCCATCAACCACCACCCTCTGTCTTCTTACAGCTTGCCAATTTCTGATCCAAACCGCTAAATCACCCTCTATCCCATGCCTCCGTATTTTCTGCAATAGCCTACCATGGGGAACCTTATCAAACACTTTACTGAAATCCATATACCCCACATCAACCGCTTTACCCTCATCCACCTGGTTGGTCACCTTCTCAAGGACCTCAATAAGGTTTGTGAGGCACGACCTACCCTTCACAAAACCGTGTTGACTAATCAACTCCAGGGTACAAGTTCTGATGTAGTCAAGTCCCATTTTTCAGTCACTTCTGCGGCTTTCTTGTTTTGAACCTCAAGAATGCTCTGCCTTAAAAGAACCTGGTTCTATTCTTACAGTACAACCTTGGTTGGTGCTTACATTATGTAAAGAATATGCATTTAGCTGAGGCAACTATCTTAGGCAACTATAAACTGCATAGTCTTTGCCTCTGTAATACATACATGCTCTGTTAATACTTCAGTAAGTGTGTATAATATATCTTATCCCCTGGTGCCACTGATGCTGAGATTGGAATAGTTTATAGTACAGATGTAAAGATAAGGTTAAAATTAGCATTTTCTCCGAGTTTACTAAAATATCAAAAATCTAACTGAAAGTATGCTAGGACAGACTTTTAAAAGCATCGTAATATAATCATAGCAAATGCCCATCCCGTACTTTTTGATACAATTGTGCCCAAAAGTCAGTCGATCTCAATCTTGAACATACTCATCAACCTACAACTAAAACTGAAACAAACAGAATACCGGAGAAACTCAGCAGGTCTGGCAGTATCTCTGGAGAGAGAAACAGAGTTGATGTTCCAAGCCCTGTATGACTCTTCTTCAGAATTGTAAACATCTAAAAAGGAATTAATATGTTGTGAAGAGCAAATAATTCACAAGCAATTTCAAATTAAAGGTACTTAGCTGCAGTTGGATTAACTGAAACACAATTCAGAGTGAGGGAGAGGCTCTCATCCTGTTTATGCCATCATTCTGAAACCAATTTATAAGATGGCTAGAGTAGAATTGGAGGCCATTGTCAAATGAAATGCCTCAAACAAAAGAGGAGAAAGGATTTTTAAAAATTTTTAATAAACCAGAACACTATTCGTAAAGATTTACCTGCTAGATTGCATTTAACAGGGCCTGCGTTTTCTCCAGTAAAATAGGAGGACTCACATCAGAAGCAAGGGCATGATATGGTTTTCAGCAAACATCCCATGACGCTCCATTTGAATCAATAATTGTCCCAAGATTGGAGCAAATTGGGACTCCACCAAACTGGGCAGACAAGCATGCCAAGACTGTTACCTTTCTTGTCCACCTGCAACAAAATTGGAGTACAGGATGAGGCCCTTAAGGGTTGTTAATTGACCACCTTCGGGTTTCAACGGGAAGACTGACCATGGCCTTCCCATCTAGAACATAATTGTCAAGGTCACTTCAGGATTGGCATTATCTGCCTGGTGCCAACCTGCCCAATTATTTGCCTTTCTCGCTAGCTTCACCTCCACTTCTCGGAGAGAGAAAATCTGGGCCATGACTCTATTTCTGCCTCTAGAGATGCTTCTTCTCCTGCTGAGCATTTCCAGTACTTTCTATTGTTGTTATTTTCAACATCTGCCGAATATTGCTATTGAACCATAAATAGCAAGCCACTCCACATTCAATACTCTGCTAAATAAAAGTTATTTAAATGCACATAGATTTCACATAACTAAAAGAGCCTTCAAACCTCATAAGCACCCAATCTAATTAGTACTGGGCATAATCCTACTGCAGATAAATTTTAATTTGGTCTTCTCACAGAACATTTGGAAATAACTTAGAAACAGATGCAAAGGTTATTCTAAAATGACATGTATAAAACGATGGCATTTTATGTACAAATTTAACTGATACAACTGGTTTTGTAGTACTGATGGGATTACCATAGTTTCAAAACAACCAAATATACCTGCTTAGAGATTGTAAGAACTGCAGATGCTGGAGTCAGAGGTAACACAGTGTGGAGCTGGAGGAACACATCTCCACACTGTGTTATCCCAAATATACCTGCTCTCTAAATATACAAAAATATTTAGAATCTGAAGCACTGACACAGCATAGTAGTCCATTCACGTACCATGAAGCAGTAAATTATAAAGGAATTCCTTCAAATCATAACAACAGTACTCACATAACTCTGTAGGATTGGCCAGTTCCTTATGAATGTTCTCTGTTAACGGCAAGTTCTGTGAACCTGTGGGCAGTTTCTTCCCTTGGAGGAAAGCATTAATGAAAGTAAGTTGTCTTACGTAATTACTACCACTTGGATATAGCTGGATCTGGTAGTCAATGAGTTTCAAGGTAGGTTGAATTTTCTTTTCACATTTCAAACAATATGTCTCCACTATGGACACTGAGGATAATCCAAAAGCAGAAACCCACAGCAAAGCTAGATGGCCAATGTTAAAAGTGATCATCATCTGCAGGTGGTTTTGAGCCAGCGGATGCAACCACATTAGTGCTGTTTCCCCTTGTGGTAAGTCTAAGTGAGCTAACTTGTTCCTGCCTATTGTTTCCCTTTACCAATCTGGATCCTAGTCAAAAGGAGTTGTAAAGCTCCACGTTGTTGAATTTGATTGAAAGGCAGCCTCGGTCCTTGTCCTTTCCCACCAATACCGCGTTAACCAGCCTTGGTTTATGGCGAGTGATCGAGCATGCTCCGAACTTAGCCACGGGGCACGCGCTCCGCTGTGACGTCACAGAGATCGAAGAGCGAGCGCAGGCGGATCAAACCATTCCGATTCCAGGAGGGAGAGAGGGAAGAGATAACAAGGATAGTAGGAACTGCGAGACAACAAGGTGCAGGGCTGGATGAACACAGCAGGCCAAGCAGCATCATAGGAGCAGAGAGGCTGACGTTTCGGGCCTAGACCCTTCTTCAGAAACTCAGAGAGGGAACACGCTTTTACCCCAACATGCCATTTTCGTACTTTTTTTTGCAATTAGATCTTAATTTATTGGAGGAAAAAAACATCTTACTTGTGTTACAGCCGCACACCCCCAGGAGGTTTGCTTCAGGAAGTATGGGTTTACCATTTTTTTTCTGCCTGTTTGTCTCCCGTACGTCGGGTTTATCCCAAAATGTATCTGTAGAGCGGTGTCTGGGCAATGTTTCACGTTAGAAAGCTGGCTCGGAAGGAGAACGGTAATCACGATGTGGAGGTGCCGCTGCAGGATTTGGGGGACAAACTGAGAATGGTTTGTTCCGCCAGCGCTCGCTCTTCGCTCTCTGTGACGTCACAGCGGAGCACGTGCTGCGTGGCCGGCATCGGAGCATGCTCAATCGCTCGACATAGACCAAGGCTGGAGTTGTGGAAGGTGTTATGTTATTCCAAATAAACCTTATATTCATATTAGTATAACCTGGTGTCGTGTGACTTCTGATTTCGAGAGAAGAAGAGTTGCGTGATAAGAAAGACTGGCTCTTCGCTGCTGATACTAAACGCTGCTCAGCTACAGCCAGAGGTGGTTGAACCAACAGAAGTTTAGAGCAGCTTAACCCACACATTACATTTAGCAGACGTTCAGATTAGAAACCAATTCAGTTTCAGGGCAGCAGCCTGACTAGTTTTCATCAAATACAAGAGGCAGGACTGGACAATATGTTGGATTTGTGCACTGCCTACAAGATGTGCTGCAGAAGTTAACCAAAGATCCTCAGATAGCACCTCACAAACCCATAACCGCTCACATCTAGAAGAACAAGGGCAGCAGGTATATGGGAACACCACCACCTCCAAGTTCCCCTCGAAGCCACTCACCATCCTGACTTGGAAATATACCACCATTTCTTTGCTGTTGCTGGGTCAAAATCCTGGAATTCCCTCACTAATAGCGTTTGGGTCAACCCACAGCAGAAGGACTGCTCATTACCACCTTCTAAAGGGCAATTAAGGATGGGCAATAAATGCTGGCCAGCCACCAATGCCCACATCCCACAAATGAATAAAAAGATTGACGATGCCCATATTTTTGTTAGATGAAGCATGTTTAGCAGCACAATATATAGTGGATGGTGTTGAGTTTTAGTTTGTGCTGACTAATCCATGAATTACAACAATGGTTTAGGAAGAAGGTATGAAATAGGCAGAAAATAAATTACCTATCAATCTTGCAGTATTCCCATGATGATCCGCGTATCAGGACAAAACACTTCCTATGATCCATGTATGATATCCTGGGATCAAAAAAGCATAGCTAACGTGGAGAAAGTGCTCTAGCAAATTGCTGTTTGTCCTTTCAATACATTAAAACCAATCCAGGAGGTCACATGGACTGATATTAGCGATAAATATACTTATCAGCTGTGGTTAGGAACCAGCTGAAACCTCTCCTGAAAGCCATCACACCAGCAGACTATATATTCCAGTGGTTCGCTATTCTATAGAATATAGCAGATTGCAATCGTGGCATGGCCTGACGACCTTCTTTTGCTTCAAAGCAAACCCAACCCAAAACCCTTCCTGGTCCTCCCACCCTCCAAAATTTGGACTGACCTGCAAAACATACTACATCATCCCTGATAATCTAGAAACCCCACAAACGCCTACCCCTGGACCCAACTCGACTTGAACCCTACCCTCCTGACCAACCCAAATATCCCCAGCTTGCCCCAACCCCAACTTATCCTAAGCAAACATTCACTTTCCTGCCATCTAAACCTCACCCACTTTGCATCTCAGCCCTTACCAAGTTGTCACCCTAACCCCAATCCAGCTGGCACTATACCCCTTACCCACATGGGGGCCTACCTTCTACCTTCCACATAGTTACCTTCTTTTCTCAACTATCGAAGTGGCTGCAGGATGTTCAAGTCTTGGAAAAAAGCAGCTCATGTCAAAAAAAGGGACATGATTTCAAAACCAACCTCCTGCACTGCAAGTACGTGGATTCTAGGCCTGCACTACCCTGCTTCACGTGTAATAAGCCCTGGCCTAGAAATTTTCAAGGAGAACTCCAAAGGTAATTTTTTTGTCGATCAGGGTAGGAAATAAGGCTTCCAATCTTGACCATAAGATCTGGTCAAAGATAATAACAGCTTCAGGAGGACGTAGACTGGAATGTCAGAGCTGATGGAATTTAACACAGAAATATGAAGTGATTAATTTTGGTAGGAAGAATGAAGAGAGACAATATAGATTGGATGGTACAATTTTAAAATTGCTGTAGGAATAGGAAGACTATGTGGTAGTATGTACATAAATCTTTGCACATGATAGGACAAGTTGAGAAGACTCAAAAATTACATGTGTTTCTTTGCTTCGTTCATTGAGGAAAACAAAAACAAGATTTAAAAGAGATAACAAGGTGGAGAGCTGGATGAACACAGCAGGCCAAGCAGCATCAGAGGAGCAGGAAAAATTTTCTGAAGAAGGGCCTAGGCCCGAAACATCAGCTTTCCTGCTCCTCTGATGCTACTTGGCCTGCTGTGTTTATCCAACTCTACACCTTGTTATCTCAGATTCTCCAGCATCTGCAGTTCCTACTATCTCTGAAATCTTTATAAGACATGAGTTAGGCTTGAGTTCAGGTATTATGTTTAATTTAAATACCCAGAAGGATATAGTGATGGTGGCAAAGTGATTAATTGGAAAAATTCCAGGAATGAGGGACTTCAATTACCTACGTAGACTGGAGCTGTTTTCCTTCAAGCAAGTTCATTTGATAGAAAAATTCAACACAATTAAAGGCTTCATGCAGTGAATAAAATAAAACTATTTCTAATGGCAGAAAGGTCAGTAATCAGAGGAAAGAGATTTAAGGTGATTGACAAGAGAATCAGAAATGAAGTAGAGTTTTTATAATGTACTGAGTTGTTGTGATCAGAAGAGTGCTACCCAATATGGTAATTAAAGTGGATTCAATGGAAACATTTAAAGGACAATTGGATAAATACTAAAATGAGAAAAAATAAATGCTGAACTATGAGAAAAGAATAAGGGAGTGGGATTAATGTTGGTACAAGCGCAATAGGTCAAATGACCTTCTTCTCTGTGATATCATTCTATAATCTACAATTTTTTGATAAGTTAATCAAACCCAATTTACCTTTGTAAATGTTGCTGGTCATTTATTAACCCATATGTTTCCAAGTGACAATTCAGTTTGTCCTAGATGATTATCCTTAAAAAAACTCTCTGTCAATGATCTTAGGCTCGCTGGTTTATAGTTGTCTGATTTATTACCCTCCCTTTTTGAACAAATTTTTGATGGAAATTTTTGAGGACATAACCAAAAAGATTGATAAGAGTAGAACAGTTGTCTACGTGGATTTTAGTAAATCATGGACAAAGGTCTGCTCAGCAGACTATTTAGTAAAGTTAGATCACATGGCATTCAGGGAGAGCTTGCCAAATGGATACAAAATTGGCTTGACGGTAAGAGACAGAGAGTGGTGATGGAGAGTTGCTTCTTGGAATGGAGGCTTGTGACCAGCGTTATTCCACAGAGATCGGTGCTGGGTCCACATTTGTGTGTAATTTATATAAATGATTTGGATGAGAATTTAGGAGGCATGGTTACTAAGTTTGCAGATGACACCAAAATTAGTGGTATAGTTGACAGTGAAAAAGGTCATCTAACATTACAAACAGAGTGGCAGATGAAGTTTAATTTGGATAAATGCAAGATATTGGATTTTGGTAAAATAAACAAGGGCAGGACTTATACAATTAATAGCAGGGCCTTGAGTGGTGTTGTTGCACAGAGAGACCCAGGTGTTCAGGCACACAGTTCTTTGAAAGTTGTGTCACATGTAGACAGGATGGCTAAGAAGGCATTTAGCATTCTTGCCTTCATTACTCAGCCCATTGAGTACAGAAGTTGGGATGTCATGTTGAGGTTGTACAAGACATTGATGAGGCATCTTCTGGAGTATTATGTCCAGTTCTGGTCATCCTGTTATAGGAAGGATATTATTAAAGTGGATAGGGTTCAGTAAAGATTTACCAGGATGTTGCTGGGATTGGAGGGTTTGAGTTGTAAGGAAAGGCTGGATAGGTTGGGACTTCTTTCATTGGACCGTAGGAGGTTGAGGGTTGACCTTACAGAGGTTTATAAAATCATGAGGGGCATAGATAAGGTGAATAGCAAAGGTCTTTCCCCTAGGTTGGGTGAGTTCAAAACTAGGGGACATATTTTTAAGGTGACAGGAGAAAGATTTAAAAGGGATCTGAGGGGCAACTTTTTCAAACAGTGAGTGGGTCATGTGTGGAATGAACTGGGAGAGGAAGTGGTAGATGCAGGTACGGTTACAACGTTTAAAGATGTTTTGACAAGTACATGACTAGGAAAGGTTCCAAGAAAAATGGGCTAAACACAGGCAAGTGTGACTAGTTTATTTTGGGAAACTTTGTCGGCACATACACAGCTGGACTGAAGGGTCTGTTTCCATGCTGTATGACTCCATAAATGTATAACATTTGCAAATCTCCAGTGCTCTGACACCATGCCCATTTCTAACGAGGATTGGAAAACTGTGACCAGAGCCATCCTTTGTCCACCTTTTCTATTATTGATAAGTTTATAAAAAGACTTTTAGGTTCCCATTTCTGTTAACTCCTGGTTTATTTTCATGCATTGCTTTTGCCCCTTTTATTTCCTTTGTCCATTCATCTCTGTACTTGCCATTTTCGGCTTAGTTTTTCAAGTATCCAAGAACCTGATATTGTAAGAATCCCTTATCTATTTCATTTTAATCACTATAACTCTCGTCATCTTGAGTGCTGTTATCTTTGGGTGCCCCTTCTTTTCTCCTAATGAAACTATGTAAGGCCGATACTCAACTTATCTCTTGTTTGAAGGCTTTTCATTGCACATTTACAGATTTACCTTCCAGTCATTAATTACAAACCATTTGAGCCAGAACCCATTTCAACTCAGTGAAATTAACCCTTCTCCAAGTAAGCCTTTGTTTCACATTTGACTGTTCCCTATACTTCCATAAACTACTGTAAAATTAACTTTTGTCCACTATATTTCTCTCATTCATTACATCCTTTATCCTCATGCCCAGACATTCAGTGCAGAAGTTTCATATGTGAACATCAGGATGGCAACTTCCAAGGTTTTCGTTACATCACAGAGAATATACTACAACAACACAAATAGTTGGAAAATTTCAAAGGAACAATGTTGAGTCCTGGATGTTCTTTATTTGAATTACAGGGTCAGAGGACCCATAAGGTGGCAAGAAGCCAGATATTGGGGTTGACGACCCATGAGGATATAGAGAAGCTACAGT